ATAAGAATGTAAGTATATGTTTGTYTATWTAAGTGTTCATGGTGGATGGAGTTGAAGATCAATTTTTGATTGAGTCACCCATTCAATTGGAGAAAATTTAATCAAAGATTCTACATGTATAGTAAGATGGATTGATTTGTTTGAATAGATAATGTTTTGTATTCTTTTTTTGTTTCTATCTTCTATATTTTGTGTTTAAATTACAAATTAGATAGTGCAGTAAAATCATGTGATTTCCCCAGCTGATGACTTAATTAAGAACATATAGAATACTATAAAACACTTTTGAAAATTATATTTTTCTGGGTTAAATTACAAGTTTGATACCCAAAATATTTAGAGTTATTTTAAAAAAATAGGTTATCTAGTCCGGGTATACTTTAGAAAATGTTTAATAGGTTATTGACCTTTTAAATTTATGTCTAATAAGTCTTCGAAGTCAACCACAATAATTTAATGTTTATGTGACACATTGATTGTATTATTTAAGAATTATGTGATGGTTTGACGGTTGCATAAACGTTAAACACTGATGTTAACCATAACAATTTATTAAACCTAGAATTAAAAGTTTATGGGTGTATTATAATATTTTAAAAATATAGTAACTAAATAGATATTTTTTTAGTTTTAAGGACCTATTAAGAACATTTTGAAGCATTAGACATAATTCTAAAGGTTTGGGAACATGCTTGTATTTTAACTTTTATCTATGATAATATTTAAATGAGAAAACTTTAATTCATACCCTTGAACTTGAACTTGAATGGGTGAGTTAATTAAATCCTTCACTTTCAATTTCATCTATTTGAACATTGAATAAGTGGTTGTTGGTTGATTTTGCAAGACTACGTGTTTATGCGTACATTTGGTTCAATCTATTGACCAAATAACACAATACAGGGACTCGGCATGATCTGCAAAACAAAGAAAACTGAAAAACGATGTGGTGCTAGCCACACACAATCCGATACTTAAGTTAGAATCGGAGGTTAAAAGATGTGTAGTTAAGAGTAAGGTTCTTTTTGTGTACCTCGAGGCCTTTCCCTCTATTTATAGGGGTTGAATCCTTGTACTCACAGCAAACCTAGCTTCCTAGGCTCATCTTGGGTGGGATGTTGAATGAAGAAGGTCATCGACCCGTTGCAGAACTCTATCATATAATGATGGGTTCAGGGCCCATTTTTGCAGGATGTCGGATGGCTGCCATTTGAGACCTGGTCAGGGTCAACACTGACAAGATATTGGCACTGACACCTGGTCAGCCGTGGTCTCGGTTGCTCAAGTGTTGGACCTTGGTGGGTTGAGCCCTGCGCTTCCGTTGGGGTTCTGGACTTGGGCTTTTTCTTCCTTTATTCAAACTTGGACTTGTTCTGAATTTACTCCGTAGCTTGTCAGGTTCGACTTTATCTATCCCATAACAGTTGCCTCCACTCTCCAAGTAGGAGTTTTGTTGAAAATGTTCCGCCTACTTTGAGAGTATCCATATTTTGTCACTCTTATCAAAATGGACTCTGGTCTGAGCTACCCAGAGTTGTAAAYAGAAATCCATGGTAATTGGTCCATCGACCTTCGTTATTCTGCACCACATCTCTTTTAGATATAACCTTTGATTTTCTCCTCTAGATTTTTCATTAGCTAAAGTATATTGTTGGTCATAAGTTTGAACCCACTCCCATAAAGCTCGTCCACACAATGTTGCTCCTTAATGCGCGCTCCCTGTAAATACCACCTTATTACGTTGGTTCTAGATAACCCATATAACATAATTAGAAAGCAATTGAAATTTCGTTCCTCCAGCTATTCTTAAACCACTATATCAAATCACTAAGGGTAGCAATCGTTTTTGGCCGTTGAGTGTGATAAAAAGCGGTGTTTTTTTCCGTAGGTTGTTACTATGATTACACAATCACAATGCATGTAGAGAATCTTCTCCAAAATGTCCACACTGTTCGCATCTTTCAGCCTCTCCAATTCCTTTTCTTCCCAAATTTACTCCAGAAGGAATATAATCCTTAAAACTTTCCAACCAAAGATCTTAATTTTAGGAGGGATTTGAGGGCGCTAGTAAGAAGACCACCACTTCTCCATCTCCTCACTACAAGACTGATCTGGCCAATCATTTTGAGAGAAACAAACCTAATAATCACTCTTTATAGAATAGTTTCCATCTTTGCTAATGCCACATGGGACATCTTTAACCTTTGTCTTCGTTAGGAGAATAGATAAAAAGCAGTGCTTGAAGCAAGATGTATGTTCATTAGATGCAGGTGCTTTGCATATTTCAAGGATGCTAGAGTTAATCTTGTTTCGAGACAAGCAATGTTTTAAGTTTGGGAATGCGATACCTCTCCATAATCGAGTGTTTTGTGGCATAATTTGGGTAATATTGGTGTGCAAATGTAAGAGTCCTGGATAAAAATAGCAAGAAAAGAAAAGAATTCAGTGAATTAGGGGCCTAAGATGTTAGAATTCTCAATATCCTTGATTTGAATGAAGTTGAACTTATTTTCTGATATTTTGGATAGGAATTGCAGAATTTAGGATGATTAAGCTGACAGTTGTAAAGATTGTTGAATTGTTATTGGAGCCTGAGAGGAAGAGTCGCTGTGTTGGAGCCTGTGGGAACCTGTCGGATTCTCTAGCATATGTGATTGCATAGTAACTTACTGCCTCAGGGATGAGGCTCACCCTTTCGTACCTATAAACTAGTTGTATTTCGTGTTTAAGCTACATCGGGAGTTGAGTTCAAGTATGTTTGGGTATCTCAAGAGAGAGCTATGTATGTTTAGGCATTTAGCATTATAGGTTGCTAAAGCATTAGTTAGTCGTGAGTGAAAGAATTCGAGTGATCCCCCCTTGATTTTACCTTATATCGCATCACATAATGCATTTCTATTTGTTTTATGTTTTGGATGCTTCAGCACAAAATTGCATAATATTTATGTTCTTGATGATTTACTGTTTTTACCATTTGATTTTACAATATTCAAGCCACTTTCATCAATTTGTTTTAAATTTTGTTTTGGTATTTTATTTTAGTAATTCAAGTATAGCTTTAGTTCCTACGGAAACGACATTGTTTTATACTACAACTGATTATTTTGGTGTACACTTGCACTGGTTTTCACGTAAGTTGTGGATACGCAACAAGTGTTCAGTAGACTGTTAGGATAAAGCCCCAGTTGTCAGACAGATTAGTGAGCTGATGAAGTCGCGTAGGTGAAAGAGTGCATTGAGGAGAAAGACTATAATTGGTGCTGAAGTCGAGGGTAAGGTCTCTAGGGTGGCAACGGACTTGGGTGGGAGTGCCAAGTCATCAGAAGGAAAATCTTTCTTTAGGAGTCGTTGGGTGCGAGTGAGGAAGGAAACGTCGGGAACCACTTAGTTAGAGTGGGAGCACGTGGCTATGTCTTTTACGTCTAGGAGACAAGACCACTAAGATTTCTTAGTCCCAGAGCAATCACAGATGGGGTCTTGGTTGGTGCCAAGAAGATCGATGTTAGAAACTGGTGCAGTGGGAGTCGAGCCTTGGTTGGTGCCAAGAGGACGTTGATCAGTTGGTGCAGTCAGAACTGAGTCAAGAGGGACACTGCAACAGCCAAGTTGGCTGAATGGAAAACGTCAAGATGCTAAGGAAATTAAACAGAAAAAAAAAATGAGGTGCGCGGTCAAATTTCATGTGTGACGCTAAAACATTCGTTTTCTTTAGGTTATAATCAATTTGTGTTGTTGCACATTTGAGGGGCGGCCATAACATGTAGGTGCATATTTTTCTTCTCGTGTGTATTTGGTGAACATTCTATTTTTTCTTCTCGTGTGTATTTAGTGAACATTCATGTTTCTCTTAGAAGTTAGGTGACTTTTATCGATACCTCTATAAGAGATTATTATATTGTCTATTGTATTATTTCAAAATCACAGTAGAAGTCGTTGTTCATCAACACATCCCTTRTGAGAATGACCAATCAAACCACAGAAGTAACAAAAGACGAGCAATTTTTCATACCGTAGTGGAATCCACAACTCATCCTCACTGCCATTCATCTTCATTAAAACACCCCAACGTAGAGGTTTAGAAATGTGAAGCTTAACTCTAACTCTAGCAAACTTTCCCCAATATTCACCGCTTTGACTGTGCTCCACCTCCAGTACTTCTCCCACCTTGTTCACAATAGCAATAAGTGTATTCTTATTCATACACCCCAATGGCAGCCAGAAAGCTGCATGACTAAACTCCATCTCCCTGGCTGTAACGTATTCATTGGTTTTTCTAAGACCACGGGCCACCATTAACAGTTCTTTCTCAGCTCTATTGGGTTCATAAATCGCATGAACAAATTATCACCGATATAGTCTGTAACGGTATTCTTATGCATGTTCCACACATCTTTCATAACTGAACGAAAAGCCTCAATGTTAATGAGCTTACTTGTTTTAACCTTCGCCAGGATGCAGTTCCGAAGGTCGTTCATCTTCTCTGTAGCAGTGTTATTGTCGAGAAAAGCCACATCTACTTCATCCGATGTCGGAGATATCTCTTTCTATTTCAAGATAATGTCTTCCATCAGTATTTGCCACTCACCACTCCACTACCCCCTGCTACCCTTACCGAGAAGGGAAAATAATTCTCTCACACAACCAGATAAATCTTTCTATGGCCTACCATTTAGTAAAACTTTGAAAAACATAAAGAAAAAAAAATAATTGTATTTTTTTTCCTACTCATAAATTTTTTTAATTGTTGGTCAATGAAAATAGATGCTTATAAATAAACATTTAAATATGGTAAAAAATATATTATAATCTTGGAAAATATTTAGAATGAGGAGAAATCAGGACAAGTCATTATTATTTTAAAAACTCTATATTTTTACTTAATTGTAAAATATTTAATGATAGGGAGGGCTAATGGCGCGAGCAAGGCACGTGTTTTTCTATAGTCTCAAGGAAGGAAACAAACAAATAGCCATGACCAATGAATAAAGAAAAAGTTGTAAGAGTCTCCGATAAAATCATATCCCAAACCAAACCTCAATGATTTTGCACCTTCTCTCCTCTCCTTCAGTTCGAACAGAGAGAAGAGAAGAAGAATCAGAGCGAACTCCATTTTCTCGCTCTACAACTCTAGAGAGAGAGGGAGATGGATCGGAGCTTTGTGTACAAGGAGTTCGCTCCGTTGGCCGGAATGATCGCCGCCGAGTGCGCCACCGTCGGCTCCAACACCGTCTACAAAGCCATAACCACTCAACAAATCAGCTTCTACGTCTTCACCTTCTACACTTGCCTCGCCGCCGCTCTCATTCTCCTTCCCTTCRCCTTCATCTTCCGCAGGTCTGCTATTCCTATTCCTCTTTCTCCATCTCCACATTCGTCCCTAAACCCTAGATTTTGATTTCTTCCGATTCAACTTTTCAGATCTGGAGTTTTTCCTTCCAACAATAAGTTTCCGTTCTTCGCCCGACTGATTCTCCTGTCCGCGATGGGGTATGGCGGATTCAGTTTCGAATTCGATTGATTTTTTGAAATTGCTTTGTGAAACAATCGGATTGCGATTGAATTGAGTTTTTGTGCGATTCTAAATTTGTTGTGAAGGGTTGGATGCCAGTTGTTTTCGTATAAAGGTCTGGAGTACAGTTCGCCGACGCTTGCTTCCGCCATTAGCAACCTCATTCCGGCTCTCACCTTCATCTTGGCTGTTCTGTTTGGGTAATTTTCTTCCCCCTTTCTTTTCTTCTGCACAATTTTTCTCTTTCTTGTTCTTCAATTCAATTTCTATGGCTTCATATTCATTGTTCTCGTCTTTCGGGAAATTGGGTTTCTCACCTCATTTTTCCAGATTTTTTATTCCTCCCCTAAAAACTGTACTGACCTTCCCATTTTAATTTTTTAACCATTTTCTTTTTGCCATGTAAAATTAACCATTTCGAATTCGCTTTTTGAAGGACTAAAATTTTCCAAATCTACCCCTTAAATCTCACAAATTTTTTTTAATTTAAATCTAATATTAAAAAAATCTAAATTTAACTTTTTAAGAATCAATTACGAATTAGAAATAAAATCTCAACTTGTTCACATGAATATGGAAAATCCAATTTGCATAATTCTGGGCTCCTATAAATGCTTTGGAATTCAATTAATAAAATGTCAAGATTTCATGAACCTAATATTCGGTATTTAATTAAAAAGGAGGGCATAAATGTCCAAGATAATTATATAAAAAAATCGAAATAGCAGGAATCCTAGCCCGGGATAGCAAAATCCCACATCGGGATTATACCGGGATATTATAGAAAGGTTTCCCGGTTCAGGATTAATCCTGATGCGGGATTGTGCTATCCCTAATTTGAATTCATAATTTTTTTTGGTCAGAAAAATAACTTTTTAGTTTTTGGTCAATTTCCAAAACGCAAAAACTCTTTAGGTCATTTTGGTCCATTTACCAAATTGTCAATACAAATGAGTGGGCTAAGTTTGATATGACTGAAAAATATTTTGAAATAGTTTAACGTGTTTTTTAGAAGATAAAAAAGAGAAAAGTATCATTTTGGTTCTTGAATTTTCAGCTATGGACTCTTTGTTTTCTCTACRTTGTAAAATCGTGCATTTTTGCTTCTGAACTTGAACGAATAGGTCTAAATTATTCAGCTACTAGGCTTTAAGGTAGAAATCAATTGATCGTTTATTTTTTAAAATAGTTCTTAACCTTGATTAGCATAATGAAAATAATGTTGGACACATTTTGAGCATGATCAATTGAAATAGTTCAACAAGTTGTGGAAAGAGGTTATTTTAGCATCTGTGGATTGATAGGTTATTGTGCAACCATTACCACTATAATGTTTCATTCATTTCATAACAGTTCACGATATGAGAATGAACATCGTTGCATTAGACATCGTGGTTCCAATCAAAATCAAGATTGCGGTATTTATTATGCTATTGCATTATTGGATGGTCATTGCATAATGCAATTAGAAGGTGAACACCATGATTTGAAATCCTATCATGGTTTTACCCGAAGAAAAGATGTCGGTGTAATACAATCCGATGGAAAAACATTTCGATGTTGTTTAGAGAGACTATTTGAACCTATTTCTAAAAACTCATGGATAAAAAATGCACGGTTCTAAATGTATGGATGAAATGAACCTTGGCTGAAATCATACTCTTTCTAAGCAGTGCTCTACAAATTCATAAAATAGCAATAAATACTCTACTGTTAAAAGAAAGCAATAAATATTTTTTAAACATATTTATAATTATTTTTGTAAAAAAATGTTAAATAATAAATCAGTTTTACACACTTTTTAGAAGTTTTTTTTTTAACAAATATGGGATATGGAGATGCAACTGCTAGGGTAAGTTCTTGATACTTTAAAAGTTGCGATATAACTAAAATTGTTTTTGAATTTAAGAGAGAAGAGCTGGAAAAAAGTTTTAGAGAAAAATAGAGGTGGAGAAGGACAAAAATTGTAGGGAGGAAAAAAATTAATTTTTCTCAGAATTTTAAGGTCATAATACACTTTGACATACCTTCTAGTTTAGATATGGTTTTTTGAAAATACTTTGTAATAAAATTGTTTTAACTAAAACACTTGAATGTTTGGTCATAAAGTTTGTTTGGTTGCAATAAATCTTAAAAAAAAGAAAAATACATTTTTGTCTTGAGGTTTGGAGTCGGTGTCTATTTAACCCTTGAAGTTTCAAAATGCACACCTTTGGTCCCTAAAGTTAAAAAATGGTTCTAAATGGTCCTTTGACCGTTAGTTGACCATTTGTAATTTTATCTCTCTTCCTCCTCTCTTTCTCTCCTATTTTCAGTCAATGTTATTGTAGTCACCGTCGACCCACCACCTGCCATCGTCGTCGCAACGCTTTCTTCGTCTACTGCACATTATGTGTTGTTCGCATCGACAAGAGGTGAGAAGGAGAAAAGGAGACCTTCCCCCGATTGCAAAGGGGAAGGGAGGTCTCCCTCTCACCTTTGTTCCAAGAATGAATGAGAGAGAGAGCCTCATCCTCTCAACTGCAAAGGACAAAGTATGGTGATGTCGCAACGACGGTGATGGTACAACGATGGAGAAAGTGCGTTGACGATAAATAATTGGTCGATGGTGGCAGGGGGCCGAAGATGAAAGAGATAGAAAAGGGAGAGGAGGAGAGAAAATTACAACCAGTCAACTAACAGTTAAAAGACCATTTAGAACTATATTTCTCAAACATCAAGGACCAAGTATGTCTATTTTAAAACTTGAGGGACTAAATAGTCTACCTGTTTAAAAGGACCAAAAGTATATTTTTCCTATCTAAAAATCATTTTTTAAATGTCAAATTATTGTATAATAGTTCTTTATCAATTATTATTATTATATATTTTTTTAGTACACATGTTGGAGAGRGGATTTGAGGTATATGCCAATTACCGTTGAGTATACTCACTTTGGCCTCTATCAATTAATTTAAAATCATATTGTTAGGATCAACTTTTCGGATGTTTTTTTTTTCTTTAAGTATTTTAAAGTCAATTTGATTTTTCTAGAAGTGATTTTTATTTGCGGCGGAATTTTGTAAATTAAAAGAAAATACCTTTAACCATCCAAGATCACTCTAGAAAAAAGGCCAAATATCAATAGTTGATAATCATGATTTATTCTACTATATCAATTTATTATCCCCCTATTAAATATATGCTAGGATTAAATGAATTGAACTTTAATATCCAATTCTTTTTTTTTTTTTTTTTATAAATTTAAACATCCAATTCTCATGTTTGACTGTAAATAAATTGAAATTTTATAATTAGTGATTGTTTTAAAGCCTTACTAAGACAGTGCTTCACAAGGTCCTTGACAAATGGAAAATCACAATTTCACATGATATCCCTTTCCTCATTTTATTTAATGGTTTGATTTAGATATGAATTAATGTTTTTTAAAAAATAAACAGTAAAAAGTTCATTTTTTTTTTATCCAATTTTATACTTATTATACTTATACTTATTATTATTATTTTTTTATTACGGGAAGTTGGATCTTTGCTCCCCTATACCCAGGGACACCTGCACCCGTCCCAAGGCCCAGACATCAAAGGTTTTTGGTTAAGCTCACTAGGAGGTTCGAACTTGAGACTTCTAAGCCAGTATGACCAAGAGACTTCGAGTTCTTGTCAACCAAGTTGCCATTTGAAATTTTTTTAAATTTCCTTTTAAAGAAAACCATAGTAATTCAAGTATGAATTATTACAAAAAGGGCAAGGGAGAGACAAACCTCAAGTTAAAGAAGGTTGCAGAAAAACGTTCCAATTTTTCTGTTTTTTTTTATACAACAATTTGGGGATATGAGGGATCAAACCTCCAACCTCGAGGGAAGGAGTACATGTCAATATAGGTTGGCTGCAAAAACTTTCCAATTAGCTAAAGGAGAATTAAGATTATAATTTGTAAAGGAAGGTAACATTTACACTAAGAGAAGGTAATTGCTATAATCAAATGTAAGAAATATGTACTAAATATGGTGTCATTCTTTTTTGGTTAGGATGGAGAAACTAGCAATAAAAAGCTCAAGCAGCATAGCCAAAATCATCGGCTCGGTAGTATCCATATCAGGTGCACTAGTAGTGGTTCTTTATAAAGGTCCAGTCATTCTATCAAACCCCTTTTCTGGGCCAACAAGATTGAATCTTCCTCCTCATCCTTTGGCCTCTTCTGAACCAAACTGGATCATGGGTGGCCTCTGCTTTTTCGCTCAGTACCTTCTCAACTCTTTCTGGTACATTATTCTGGTAATTTTTCTCCAACCTCCCTTTATTCTTGTGCAATAAAGAACATGTATCATTGAATCATGAATGGCTTGTTAAGTTGCTGAGCTTAATAGAGAGGTTAGTGCAGAGACTATTAATTTCATAGCGTGTAAAAATATCAAATATTTTGTCAGTATTATCATGTTCATATATTGTATATGCTACATCTCATATCCTGCTTACAAATTCTGTATATGCAATGCAATTTGTTAGTTTCCCGCACGATGTGCTTCAGAAAAATTGTTGGATTATCGCATATTAGTTTTAAGAGGCGCTGGAGTTGGTTTACAAGTGTGAGGAAAACCAACTTCACCTCTCCAGTTAGCTTTTGAAATGAGAAAGTCAAGTTGACTCAAATGTTTTGTAATGGGTAATTATGCTTAAACGAGTGTTATTTACAGACCCAAATGGTGAAGATGTATCCAGATGAACTAGTTGTGGTGTGCTTGTACTATGTTTTCGAGGCCATAATTGCTGCACCAATATGCCTATTGGCAGAAGGAAACTTGAATGCTTGGAAGCTAAAAAGTGGCCTGGAATTGGTTGCTGTTTTGAACTCAGTAAGTAAGAAGGGGAGAGAACTTGAATAATTTTATTGTGGTTTGTTTTAAATGTGGAGTTGTTGCTGTATTTGATAGGGATGTGTGGGCCAATCCTTTGTCTCTGCGATCCACACTTGGGGCGTAAATGTTAAAGGGCCTGTTTATGTATCAAGTTTTAGGCCACTCTCAATTGCCATTGCAGCTGCTACTGGTGTCATTTTCCTTGGGGATGATCTCCATCTTGGAAGGTGCCTCACTCTCTCTCTCTTCTTTTTGTGGTTTATGCATTATCATCTCTCCGTCTCTCTGGTTTCTGCTCTGTTATTTTGTGACTCATGACAAATATAACACAGTGAATGTTAGTTGAATATGGTAGAGATGGGAAAGGTAATTACCAAACGGGAAAAATGGAACGTCAGTTAAGGAGAAATGATTAGAGGAGCTAGCACAATGTAACTGGTAGTTTTACCCTATTGCATATATAAGGGGGAGAAATTACGAGATGTATTTCAAGCGATTATTAGCCGTTTATATAGATTTTCAAACTTTCATCCAATGATTATTAGGGTAGCTGCATTATGGCAGTTATATTCAATAACTTATCATTAGTTAGTCATCACTTTAACTATTTTAATAAATATTTAGGTTGGTAATCAGGTATGTAAATTTTAGTGTCACGAACCCCTTCATACTTCCACAATAGTTATGATATTGTCCACTTAGAGCTTAAATCAATATGGTTTTTCGTTTGGTTTCATCTAAAAGACTTCATAGATCTTTTCCTCTTTTAGCCGATGTGAGCCTATCTTCATTTCCCCACCAATCTTCCTTTGGAATGAAAACGTGAGTATCCCCAAATAGTCATTCATTTGTCCACATCAAGAGCTTTGCAACTACCCTTATCAGAGCATCTTGGCAATTTTGATAGAGTTCAACCATAGATCATAGCTATATGATACCACTTGTTAGGATATAACGAACCCTCTATTGTTTTACAATGATATAATATTGTCTACTTTAGGCCCAAGCTTGTATCTTTTTTTTTTAATGGGTGGTAAGACGTGCAAACAAAGTTCCACATTGGTTAGGGAAGAGATTGATCCATGATATATGAACGAACAATCATCTCAATTGGTATGAGGTCTTCTGGATGAAACCAAAAGCAAAACGATTATATCCAAAGTGGACAATATTCATATCATTGTAGAGATACTTAGGGTATTTGGAGGTATCATTGTCTTTTAACATTCTTTTAGTAATCCAAAAAATATGGTATTAATGAAGATGTCCCTTATATAGTATGGATATCCCTTTTCCTAATCGATGTGGAAACTATATTCACATTTCCAATAGATTGCTCCAAAAAGATAAAAGTAAAACTCTGGTATGCATAGAGATATTGTCCCTTATTTTGTGATTATCAAACTTTCTTCACTGCACTTTTTCGCAAGTTATGGGTAGAACATTGAAAATTTCTCTAGTTAAATAAAGTGAAGGGATTCAATTTCCATTCCATTTTTGCTTGTGGCAGTATTATTGGAGCAATAATAATAGCAAGTGGGTTTTACTCTATAATGTGGGGAAAAGTAAAAGAAGGAGACTTGATGGAACAGTGTGGGTTTTCAAGCTTGGAGTCTTCATCCAAAGATAAGACTCCATTGTTGCAAAGCTCTAAAGTTCAAAGTGACTAAGTATTTTGTGAATATATTAGACATGATTTATCTGTCCAATAAGAATGTAAGTATATGTTTGTCTATATAAGTGTTCATGGTGGATGGAGTTAGAAGATCAATTTTTGATTGAGTCACCCATTCAATTGGAGAAAATTTAATCAAAGATTCTACATGTATAGTAAGATGAATTAATTTTGTTTGAATTGATAGTGTTTTGTGTTCTTTTGTTCTTTCTATCTTTTATATTTTTAGTTTAAATTTCAAATTAAATAGTGTAGTGAAATCATGTGATTTCCCCCAGCTTATGACTTATGTAAGAAAGAATAATATGGAAGACTTCTGAAAACTATATTTATCAAGTTTGATCCCAAGATATTTAATCTATATACTTTATTTTAGAAAATATTTAATAGGTTTGTGAATTATTAATTTTATGTTTAATAGGTTTCCATGGTCAACCACACTAATTTAATGCTCTTTGATTGTATTATTTAAAAGTTATATGATGGGTTGATGGTTAACTATAAGAACTTGTTAAACAAAAAATTGAAATTTATGATCTTTTTAAAGTAGAGTATCTAAATAGATATTTTTGTAAGTTTCAAGTACATATCAAGAGGCCAAAGCGAGCATAGATCAGTGGTAATTGACATATATCTTCAATCAAAAAGATTATGAGTTCGATCTCCAATCYTACATGTTGTACTAAAAAAAGACTCATCAAGAAGTTTTTTGAAGTACTAGTAAGCAACACACACTATGCATATGGGGTTGTGTAGTTCTAAGTTAAAGTAAAATAAATAGTGTTTTTTTTTTTTAAAGTTTACAATATTATCATTTAAAAGAAAGAAAGTGGTTTATTTCTTTTAACTCTAAAGGGAATTAAATAATAACCTATACTTCTATATATATATAATAGTATGAACTCTAGGTATAATATTGTGGCAATAAAGAAGAAAATTAAAGATCAGTATGGAAAGCAAGCACAAAATTGAAGAGTAAGATGAAAGATGAAAAAGCATCAATTTTATTTATTTATTTATTTTTATTTTTTTGAGAAAACATCAATGTGCAAGTTTTGATGGATGAAGAGGGAGTTGAGGAGTAAAATAGACGCAAAGTTTCACACCTGATTTTTCTTTTTAAAAAATTAGATTTTATGAAGATTTTTAGTGCAATTCCTAGATTTTGTAGGTGTTGGATTTTTCTATATTTGTATTAATTTACTAATTTAAGCCAAAAAAAATATTATTCTTTCAATAATCTTCTTTTGAAAAAAGAAAATCTAAACTTGGGGAGTTTTTCTTTTTAGGATTTTCTCTTCTTTAATGAAGGAACATTCTTAATTTACTGTTAATTTTATTGATTATGGATTATTGTATTATACTTTAACATTTTTAATTTGTGTGACGCTAAGTTTGTCCATTCTATAATGAAAAGAAAGGCAAGAGAGGAAGACAAACTCTAAAATGTTCAACCTGATCAAATTGAGAGAGATAAAAATTAATATTTTTTGCCATAATTTTGTAAAAATAATTATAAGCATTTCACATACATCAATAAAAAGTATCAGTTTAAAAAAAAAAATCAAATAAAAGTCAAACTCATAAGCATCTCCATTATCTAGCCATGAGAATGATCGAATTTTGTTTTATCTCGATTCCATCAAACACCGTACTGTATTCTACATTTTCTTCCAATATGAACAATGATAAATTTGGGGAAAGCGAATTGATGCCTTCAATTTTCCATTAATTCTGTCTCGATRCAATTCAGCTTTAATTTGGTTTCTCTTCACAATCAATTCCCATCTCGATCACCCATATGTGCATTGTCGTTGTCGTTGCTAAAACAAAAGAATAATCTCCATACATTCACACCACTTGGAAAATTGGTTACTTTGTTTCATCCACCACTTTTTGATTTTTTTTTGTTGGCATGAGAAAAAGATGGCGTATACATATTTAGAAGATGCAAGGATTGAGAGAGGGTACGTGGCGTTTTCTCTTCTTCCCATTAAATAATGAACAATGAAGAGTCAAATAGACTTTTATTTCCTCCAACGAATGTTTCACTTTAAATTAATGAATTAATGCTTACATATTTAAAACTAAATCAATTCTTAAATTTGGAGGGGAGAGAGAACGGATTATAGAGAGAGGGAGAGAACTTATTATAGAGAGGGAGGGAGAGAGTAATTGGTTGGAAGGGAGGAGAGAGAGAGATTTCAATGACTAAATTGTCGTAAAAATAATAATGAAAATAAAAAAATATTTGATAAAGTATAAAATTGGAATTTGTAAAGATGAAGATAAATTATTTTGAAAGAAAATGAAAATAAAAAAAAATATATACTTTTGTCATGAAATAACACTAATTAGGATGGTACTCATCACACTATATCCTTTTAAGCATCCACCTCAATATTAAATAACATTTAAAATCTAGAATTGTAAATTGGGATGTTACAATTTAAATTTTTAAAATGTGCTTAATTATAATTTCCAAAATAAAAAAAATCTCAAAACCCCAAAAATCTTCAAAACCATCCATTTTTCAAACCCCTTTCTTTTTCCTCCAGCCGTCCATTTTTCATCCGTTTTTCTTCCTCCGACCGTCCGTTCTTCTTCTCCGATCGTCCGTCTCTATTTGTCTTCCTCTCCGGTCGGCTCCGTTTTTCTCCGTCGCCTGTCTCCGTTTATCCCATTCGAAATGGGATTTTCATCCTTCCTTCTTCTCTGGTCGTTTATGCCTGCCTTCGTCTCCAGCCGACGTCTGTCTGCCTTCATCTTCGGCCGCCTCCGTTTTTCTCTGTCGCAAGAGCAATTCGTCTCCGTTTATCCCGATCGAAAGGTTTGCATTCCAACGGTTGTTTTCGATTTCTGATTTTGTGTGAACTATTGTATAYATGAGGATATATATTATAGTGAGTTTAATTATGATATATCTTATAACTCAACTTGTATATATGAGGATATGCGGATATATACTATAGTGATTTTGAATGTATATATGCGGATATATAAGTGGATATATACTGTCATTTTGAATATATTTTTTGAATATGTGAATATATGTTTATTGAGACTTGAAAAGATGTTTATGTGATTTTGAATTGTCCTCGAAGATTGAGCACCAATGGAGTGAATTAAGGGAAAAGCAATCTTTTTGAAGGAGTAAATTAAGGCTTTGAAGGAGTGAATTAAGAGATTTGTGTTGAAAATTAGTATGGGGTCCACAATAATTAAAGGATTATGATAATAATTTATGGAATTAAATATTTTATATTTAAAAAAACAAATAACTATAATAAATGTAAAAGCAATGGTAAAATCAGAATTAAAATAAAATCCTACAGAAATCTAAAAGTGTAAAATTATGTAAATAAGTTTCTAAAATAGCCACCAAACACATTATCTAAAAAACAAAGAGGAATGAGTGACGTGAGAGAGAGGAGGGGATGAGAGAGAGAAAATTATGTTTTGAATGACAAAACTACCCCTAACATAAAAATGAAAATACTTAAATTAAATGGACAAAATAGCCCATTTTATATATAGTATAGATTAGACACCCTTTTAAAAGGTTGAGGTAAAGTTGTATTTTGACCTTTTTCTATGATAATATTTAAATGAGAAAATTTCAATTTATACCCTTAGGACTTGAATGGGCGAGTTAATTTAAACCCTCACTCTCAATTTCATCTATTTGAACATTGAATAAGTGGTTCTTTGGTTGATTTTGCAAGTGTTTGAATAGAAGCAAGTAATAAAGTGATGAGTAAAGTATCATTTCTACGAGAATTGTTCCAATTAAATTTAATCTTAATCTGTTTGATGTTGATAGAGGAAGATGTGAATAAACAAAAAAGAATTAATTTAAAACATGAAGGAAAGCCTGGCGCTCCGATGACTTTACCTTACTAATCTCTCTCTTTTCGTTTTCATTTTAGTAAGATTTTCAGCAAGTAACCCAGTCGATAGAAGATTTTAATGCTTACTTGGATCAATAAGCAAATCCATTTTCTGGAATTGCTAGTTGGCCTCCACTACCTCTTGAATAAATAGGTGGTCTTTCTTCTTTAGAGAAAGCTATTCCTYGAGATACTACTCGTCTCGATAGTTCACTCTTGCTTCTTGTAGTTCTACCTTTCCTTTTGAAGTTTCTTTAGTCTAATTAACTTGGTTTCTATGTTGATAACGAATTCATTTTAATTTATTACTAATCTTTTTCAAGGGTTAGAAAATTGTTTGACAAAAAATTCCTACATTTCTGTGAAATTTCAAACCTATAAAAAAATGTTAAGCGCGAGATTCATGAATGCGAATTAGTATTAATGTCTTACCAATGTTACCTATTATTAAACATTCAAGGTCACTTTAATCTCCCGATCTCAAGTTAAATTTAAAATCATGTAATTGATGATCAACAAATTATAAACATTAAGCTCATAACGTTAACTCAACAACGRAAATAACTTCATTAATTAATAAAATACATAAACCCAAGAGTTTATAGTTTTGGCTATATGTCCTACAAACGGAATCTAACACAAAATTAAAATTAAGTTAGAATCTACAAAGAATTAATCAGAGGTATAAAGAAAATGAGAGGAAAGAAGAAAAACAGATTCTCTCCCTTATGAAAAGCATTTAGCCGCAGCCTCCTCCGATCTTCTCCTCTCCAAAAGCTGACCTAAAACTTTGAATTATAAGTGTCGATATCGTCACAGTGCCTCGGCAGGCTTGATTATTCTAATTGTATTTGATATATTTTCTTTTTAGTACAACATATGAGGTCGGGGATCGAACTCACAACCTTTTGTTTGAGATATATGTCAATTATCGCTGAGTTATGCTCCTCTTAATTAATTGGATTTGGGTATTTTGATTCTTCTAGTTGTATCTTTTGTTTCATTTCTTCTGGAACAATCATAAACAATTTTTTTATTATGATCTACTGCCAGAAATTAAATTTGTAATCTTAGTCTTCCATGCGTGTTCCTGAATAATCTCATTTTTCAATTATTGGGTTTGTACATTTATTTGACATAATTTTGAGTGTTTTGTTAGTTGAAATTTGTAGGATTAGTTCACTAATTGAAATACTTACCAAGTTCAGAGTTTAAATTGATAAAATCAAAATTTTAAGTTTAAAAATTAAACATACCCTAAATAAATTAAATTATAGAGAAGATATCTAATTACATAATAATTTTAGTTTGT